ATAGCGATCGAGGTATTTTTTTTTTGTTTATCGAGATATTTTTTCTGAGTACAAAACTATCTCATTTGATATTTTATACATTTCCCATCAGTATTGTCCGTGCTTTCTGTCTCACGTGATTCTATGTCAGAGATTTTACACATTTTCTATCATTAGTGTCCATGCTTTCTACCTTACGTATTTTTATGACAGATATTTTATACATGTTCCATCATTATTGTCCATGCTTTCTGCCTTACATGTTTCTATGTTAGATATTTTTTTACACATTTTCTATCATTCTATGTATAGCATTTCTGTGTTACATGTTTCTATGTCAGATGTTTTATACATTTTCCATCATTATTGTCCATGCTTTCTGCTTTACATGTTTCTGATAGATATTTTTACACATTTTCTATCAGTATTGTCCATGCTTTCTGCCTTACATGTTTCTGTTAGATATTTTTACACATTTTCTATCATTTTATGTACAGCATTTCTGTCTTACGTGTGACCATGTCAGATGTTTTATACATTTTCCATCATTTTTACCCCTACTTTCTGCCTCACGTGTTTCTATGTTAGATATTTTTACACATTTTTTATCATTTTATGTATAGCATTTCTGCCTTACGTGTTTCCATGTCAGATATTTGATACATTTTCCATCATTATTGTCCATGCTTTTTACCTTACATGGTTATCTTAGATATTTTATACATTTTCCATCATTATTATCCATGCTTTCTGTCTTACGTGTTTCTATGTCAGATATTTTATATATTTCCCATCAGTATTGTCCGTGCTTTCTGTCTTACGTGATTCTATGTCAGATATTTTATACATTTTCCATCATTATTGTCCATGCTTTCTGCCTTCCATGTTAGATATTTTATACATTTTCCATCATTATTGTCAACGCTTTTTGCCTTATGTGTTTCCATGTCAGATATTTGATATATTTTCCATCATTATTGTCCATGCTTTCTACCTTACATATTTCTGTTAGATATTTTACACATTTTCTACAATTTTATATTCAGCATTTCTATCTTACGTGTTCCTGTGTCAGATATTTTATACATGTTCCCTCATTATTGCCTGTGCTTTCTGCCTTACGTGTTTCTATGTTAGATATTTTTATACATTTTCTATCATTTTATGTACAGCATTTCTGTCTTACGTGTTTCTATATCAGATATTTTATACATTTTCCATCATTATTGTCCATGCTTTCTGCCTTACATGTTTATATGTTAGATATTTTTACACATTTTCTGTCATTATTGTCCATACTTTCTATCTTACGTGTTTCTATGCCAGATATTTTATGCATTTTCCATCATTATTGTCCATGCTTTCTGCCTTACATGTTTCTATGTTAGATATTTTTACACATTTTCTATCATTTTATGTACAATATGTCTGGCTTACGTGTTTCAATATAAGAGATTTTATACATTTTCTTCTCTCATTTCATCTACAGCATCTTTGTATTAGAGTTACCGTAGCGTATTGTGGTAGTCATGTCTTTACTCAATGGCTAAGTTTTTCTTTCAAATAAAATAATATATTTACTTTCAATTTTCACATCCAAGGTATATACTCTAAAACTATATACACTCTATAACTATATATACTCCAAAAATGTAATTAATTTGATTTTTGTTTGCTATTATACCTGAAATGTCTCAACGTTGAATATTTGATGGTCCTTTACGGAGTATAAAAAGGACGGTCGACATTTTCCCGCACGGAATCACGCATGTGTACCTTCACGAAGGGAGTTGTACTTAAACCTATTAGTTGATTGTGAGACGAGACCTGCAAAGTGCGCTGTCAACTAGGGTTAGGTATATACAGTGCATTCCGTATGTTTTAGATACATGTTCAGGGGAAATTGTTGCCTGATGGCTATCGGAGAACCGTCTATGACCAATATATATTCTTACAGAGACCATTGTTAATTATCGACTTTAAAACAATAAATTACTTGCTCGTCGTAGATAAAATATAGTATACAAATATTTACGCTTTCTTCTTTGCTTTCATTTAAATGTTAGTACGTCAATCGGATAAATAACAACTCATATCTATGTCTAGTAATATGCGTTAGTTGGTTTGAACATAATTTAGTGATGGTAAACAATCGTTCATTCAATTATATTTAAATATATTTGTAAAATTGTTGTAGACAAAATATAGTATGCTCAAATAAAAAAAAATAGTCATATTAGATGTTTATGTATAGTAGTGGATGTTTAGATACGACTTTTGGCTAATTGTACGTTTAGATGAGGTCTGTATATATATTAGTAAGCGCTTAGCTGAGACCTTGTCGAATGGTACGTTCAATGGAGACTTGTGTATAGTAGTGCTCATTCAAATGTTGCTTGTAGAGAACATTTAGGTCCTTGTCGGTTTGTAATCATCCAACTCATATCTATGTTAAGTAATTAACGTTAGTTGTTTGAACATAATGTATGGATGATAAACATTCATTCATTAATTAATTCTCACATATCTGAATATCTTTGTAAAAATGTTGTAGATAAAATATAATGTGCAACAAATCGATACCGCATATCAATAATCATATTTGAGAGTTGTCTCCAGTAATTACAGTTCGGAGGATACTTGTAATATCTACCCAGATGAGATTTATATATTTATGTTTAGTAGTTGCTGACCTGCATTTCCTTCGTCTTTCATGTGGTGTCCAATATAATACTTTTTTGTTATTCTGTTGTCGCATATTCTGTGGACGTTTCCATACCAGCGTAGTTGCGATATCCTTCGTTATTCTGTGTTTAACGCACATAATTTCTTACGATTCTTTCATTTGTTACTCTGACAACATTTTGTTTTTCTTACCCATTTTCTTTAACGATTGTTCTGTCCCATCTTAAGTGTAGTATACGGGTGCTATACGTCTGATATGTGTTAGATCGCGGCTGCTGTATGTCTGATATAAGTTAGATTGCTTCTTCTATACGTCTGCTATGCGTCTAATGTACGTCTGATATACGTCTGATATGCATGTGCTATATGTTGTTGAGTAATATACGTATTTTTTTTACAATTTATTTTGTTCGATTATTCAATATTCACAATACTTTGTGGTGTTTTTATACGCCATTATATTATTATTGTTGTCAGATTATGTTAAACGGCTATGTAACTTTATATGCATTTTACATTTTTGGCAATCCTTTTTTTATTATCTCTCAGCGGTTATGAAGAAATTTAAAGTGTGATTAAATATCCCTACAATGTCTATACCTTTTTACACTGTGTTGAATGGTACCATTATTATTACATTTACATGTTCGATCCCTCGTAAAACACCCAAGTATGTAATGTGCGAAATGGTTGCGCCTACGGTTCAAGCTGGTCGATCCTCTAGGGTTTAATGCCTCATGCGCGAAGCGGTGACGCGTACGGTTCATACTGTTCAGATCTTTCGCGGCTAGCGTTCTTTTTTTATATCCATTATTGCCTGCTTATATTAATTGGTTACGTAGCTGTGTGGTTAGCGTGTGTAGCTTCGGTGCTGCTGGTCACGAGTTCGAGTCCTACATACTGTCGATTTTTTTATTTAATAATAATTTAATAATAATAATAATAGTCTCCCGTTTTATACCGTACGCGGCTTTGGGAGTATAGCAGGGTAGTCTGCTATATCTAGGGCCTACGGTATACAAGGAAGGTAACATGGCCAGTGCTACGCTTCAACCGCCTATTATTACCCCTGGTTTTACCCAAGGTACTCATTTTATTCAGGCTGAGTCGACCTGGGGCCTATAGACATTTTAAAAATGCCTAGTTGTTCTTGCCGGCGGTAGGATTCGAACTCACGACCACCGGCATGCGAGGCAAGCACACTACCGCTTGCGCTACGCGGGCCCTAATTTAATAATTTGGATTAATATTGTGTTATAGATAGTGGATAATAGTTGAAATACAAAAGTAATATGTAAATTAATTCATATTAAAAATAACTAATTACTGGCGGTGACAGCTAACGTGAAAAACAAGTTAGGACTTGTCGGTGACGTCATCACGGTGCGTGACCGGAGCGCGGTCGGGGCTTGTGACGTCAGGGGTCAATGGTCTAAGTAGGCTATTGTATCGAGAAGCAGTCCAGCGAGAAGCGTGGAGCTGCGTCGAGAGTGCGTGGGTGAAAGTCCAAAAAGTGGGGTGAAATGGCTTACATCTACTACTGCCGCTGCTGTCGCGGTATCACAGCCACTTAACTCATAATGTAAGTGACGCCTGTGAGTAATCGGGAAATAAGCCTACAGGATTTTTACTTCCCATAGCCTTAATAAAGTAATGACATTACTGCTACCTAATGTCATATCCTCAGTCGATCTGCGGGTACTTATTTGGCAATGCCTTATTCGTACCTGTCCTGCATATCTGAAGGAACTTTCCCTGTCAGCCATATGGGACCTGCCGTGTCGAGGTTGAAGACATCCCCCGTCCAGTCTGTCTTTCGTGGAGTACAGAAGAGCCCCTACTCATTTCAGAGCTCCTCCTCCAAGAAAGCTAAGACCAACACGGAAAATGTTTAGGTAATCATAATTAATTGTCAGAAATCGACAAATAATTCAACAAGCGGACTCATAGTCCACTTGTTTACTCTGAAAGGTTAATAAAAGATATAAGATGCAAGTATTAAATCTATATGAATAAAAGAGTTGTAAATATCTAATATTAATTATTATTTTTATTAGATATGCATGTTTTAAATAAACATAAACTTTGGTTTTTTATTATCTAAATTACACAGTTTGTTATACTTTCTCTAAAATATATTATTCATTTATTATAATGTTTTTCATTGAGAAATTTCTGTTATTAGTGAGTATTTGTATACGAAGTAATCATTGTTGACTGGATGTAGAATGCTTTAGAATACTTGGCTGTACCCTAGTAGATAGTGTTAGTGAAAAATATTTAGAATCAGATAATTTTGCTTTATTATAAATTTCGCATATCCAGAAATACTATATCTAACAAAATTCAAATTCATTCCGCTTACTTGGTTCACATATAGGTTTCGGAAAGTTCCAAACGCCATCGTAGCAGTAAAGCGTATTTCTACCTCCTGGTGGTATTTCATAGTAAGCGCTGCAAATGTAAGTTAAAGAGGTACCATCAACGGCTTCATCACAAGGTACTGCTCCGTTATGTATGTCTTTACAGGTTAACGTGGTAGTTGTCGTTGAATAAAGTGGGGGGCATTTTTCTAGAAATTAAAAACATAATATACGTATTTATGCACAAAGTAAAGTACTTGTTTAAAGTAAAGTATTTTTTATTAGAGTGAGGCATAGCGCCACGAAAGTAGCGCCACGACACAACGTCATGGAGGTAGCGCCACAAAATTGCAGTCACAGTAAACAGTTAAAATAATTCATTTACGCAACGAATTAAGTCCTCTATATAACCTCTTAAATTTTTCAATTTTAATAAAATCTATAAAAAAATATTAAAGAAACAATAAAATTATGCTATTCACTTTTAAAAATATTATTTAAATTTTAAAAATACCAAAAATATAATATGAAACTTAGCGCTAGTCTTTTTATTTTTTTTTTTACATCTTTAAAGAGAAGAAGGAAAATCTGCATACAGACACCTGTGACTCACACAGGTAGTGTTGGGTTCCTAATACCCTAGCGAAGTTGTGCAGGGGCGAGGTGCCCAAGGAATTTAAACCCTTGACACCTCGCCCCGTCACCACTCCGAGACGGTCGGCGTCCAACTAAAAACCTCTCCTCTGTCACACCAGACATCAGGATGGAAGGGCCAGTTAAGGCATACATCTCTCCCGATGCCCTGCTATCACCCGATTCCCATTCTTTCTCCGACACATTCATCCAGGAAACCACACCCACACGAACCACCAAGGACTTTCAACCCTCTGCCTTAGCGAGGCTGCCATCTCTCTCGCGTCGTCTGTCTCTTACTCACTCTTAGTTCGGCCTGTGACAGTCCGAACCCTACCAAGGTGCTACTCGCTTGTCTTAAAATTCTGTTGCGAGTTCCCTCTCTTCTCGTTCTTTTGAGGAGAGCAGCTTCCTGACAAATTTGTGGATCCGTGTCCACCACCACTTATCACTCATCATTTTCTCCACCATTTCTCTCACGGAATCAAACATTCTGCAGTTACACTCTCTTACAAACTTCTCTCTTTCATCCGCCCAACGCTCACACTCCAACATCGTGTGTGTCACAGTGTCCGAGAAACCACAGTAAAGGCACTGATCGGACTGAGCCCTCCTAAACCTGAAAAGGTAGCTGCGGAAGCAGCCATGGCCTATGAGCATTTGCGTTAGATAGTAATCCAGCTGCCTATGCCCACAGTCCACCCAGCTTCGAAGGTTCGGGATTAGTGACTTCGTCCACTCCGCCACATCACGTGTTGCCTCCCACTCTTGTTGCCACTGTCCGATTGAAACTAATCTCTCGGCCAGTCTTATCTCATTCATTTCTCGCTCTCCGATGTTCCGCCCCCTACGACTGTAAATCCTTGCCCTTTCACCTGCCAGCACATGTAAAGGAACACAGCCGGTGATAACACACAGAGCGGCAGCTGACACAGTCCTGTAGGCACATGCTACCCGCAGCAGACTGGTTCTGTCCACGCGTACCATGAGCCTCTTGTAAGTTGGTATTTCTACCGCGTCACTCCAGACTGGGGCCGCGTAGAGGACGACAGATTGCACAACACCGTGGAGCACCCTTCTCCTTTCGGATTTGGGACCACCGATATTAGGCATTATCCTCCCCAGCGCAGCCATTCTCTGAACAGCTCTGCGGGTCACCCCCCTCAAATGTTCCCCCCAGCTCCCACTCTGGTGGAGAGTAACTCCCAAATACTTAACGTACTTTTTGGGCGTCACTCTCACTCCCGCGCACTCAAATTCCACCCTATCTCTCTTTCTGTAGCCTCTGAGTACTACAGCCTCCGTCTTATCCTCCGCGAGAGAAAGATCATGCTCACTCATCCAATCCTCAACTAGAACACACGCACGCGTAATCCGAAGCAAGAGTTCCTCCCTGTCCCGTGCAGCCACCAGCATAGCAAGGTCGTCCGCGAATGCAAAGGGGGTCACACCCTCCCCATATTCGCAATTTAAGACCCCGTCATATGCCAGGTTCCACAGCGTCGGACCCAGGACGGAGCCCTGCGGGACCCCAGCCGTTACATCCACCAGCACACCATTTTCCACCACAATCTTTCTCTCGGAAAGATAATCAGCGACCACATTCCTCAGATACCCAGGACAGTTCCTTGCTTCCAAAGAGCTCATTACGTGACCCCACTGCAATGTATTAAAAGCATTTCGGACGTCAAAGAGAACTAGGATGACCCATCGATGATCACCCCCAATTCCCCGTGCCGCCCGGAGCACATCGGTCACCGCATCCACTGTACTTTTACCCTTGCAGAAACCATATTGTCTCGGAGACAGGCCTCCAGACATCACAATCACCTCCTCGATACGCGAACGTAACATTCTCTCATATAGCTTTCCGATACAAGGAAGAAGGCAAATAGGACGATATTTTCCTGCCTTGAATTTAGGCAGGAGCACGAGCCTCGAGATTTTCCAGGGATCCGGAAAAGACTGCGCGACAAGAAGAGCATTCATGTGTTTCAGCAGCCACATGGGCTCCAAACGGCCAAGATGTATAACCGCCTCAGGTGGGACACCATCCAGACCGGGAGCCCTACCAGACTTAAGGGAACTCACCGCCACAGCCAGTTCATCCAAAGTAAAGGGAATCCCACACTCAGCCTCGACGTCTCTCCGCACACCATGCCACGGTCCTTGTGGAAACAGTTCGGTGACTATGTCCAGCTTCTGGTCCAATGGCATGCCATACGGAGCACAGGCGTCGAAATGCTTCATTGTAATCTTATACCCTTCACCCCAGATGTCCTCGTCCAGCTTGTCACACAGTAGCCTCCAGTGTCTCTTCTTCTCGGCTCGGATCCTCCTATTCAACTCCTTCTTCCTCGCACGGTAAGACGTATCCACACGTTCCACCTCTTCCGCGCTCCGACGTAATCTCGCCCTTGTCAAGTGCCGGCGAAGGGCCACGCACTCTCTTCTCAGTTGCTCTATCTCGACACACCACCAGTAAGGCATTCTACCCGTACGCTCAGTCCCAATTTTACTCATATGCATCGCGGCTTTCATAACCTGCTCGAGGCCTTCCACCGAAGGTGTAAGACGTCGGGCCTCATGTACCTCCCATCTAATACTCTCATCATATACACTCCAATCTACCTGATATCTTCGGCATCCCGACAGGCAAGGTTTGGGTCTACCCCCAACGTCCTCCGTCTTGCCAATCGAAAAGCCGATAAATTGGTGCTCCGTGCCGGTATACTCCGCCAGTACTGCCCAGTCCTTGACACATCGGGCGGTTCCCTGCGTAGCGAGGGTGACGTCGATGTACGATCTGGAATCGCCTCTCACAAAAGTTGGCTCCAAACCTGTGTTTAAAACCACTAGATCTAGTGCCCCGATCCATTCCATTAACATTTGACCCCGAGTGTCAGTGATCGGCGAGCCCCATCCAGCAGATTTTGCATTGAAGTCGCCGAGCACCACACACTCGTTGCCCAGTCGCCTCACCTCTTCCATAATTGCATTTAACCTATTCTCATACTCACCTACCACTATATTCGGTGAAATATAGCAGCAGACCAGATTCAGCCTCTCCATTCTCACTGATATATAGCCCATATGAGCGTCAATCCCATACACCCTTAATTTGCGATTACAGATATGCACACCGACGACACCAGCGTCATCCACAAACCAGCCCCGATTCCTGACCAACGTGGGGTTCGGTTCCGCCGCCACGAGCAGATCATATCTCCCCTCAGCGGCGGAAGCCAGGGCGAGATCATGTGATAGTCTCGCCCTGCCAACATTGGTCTGGAGAATCCTCAGCTCAGCACTGCAATTCGTTGCCATGTCGAGAGGAAGATACGCGCCTCTTTAGGCCCCACTCCCGGAGCAACGTCTGGCTTCGTCGACCAGGTATCTAAACTTAGGGCAGTCTCTCGACCCACTCAAATGACCTTTTACATTGCAGTTCATGCAACACTTTATCTTAGCCGTGCATTCCCTGAGCATGTGCCCTTCTTGGCCACACCCCCAGCATCCCTTGCGCTCTGGTTCCTTACATTCATTCCTGATATGTCCATAGGCTTGACACCTATAGCATCGCAGGATAGGCACTTTCTCCCTTACAAGGCATGCTACAAAGCCAACTTTCAATCGTTCCTTTTTCAGCAACACATTCGCAACATTCTCATCGACTTCCACAGTGGCGTTTAAGCCATTCCGTGAAGGCCTGATTCCTAGCACATCGCATGACGAATTGCTGCCAGCACCTCTCTGGATTGCGTCAGCGACGTCCTCGGCTGTCGTTACCGCATCCATACCTATCAAGAGAAGTTTTCTCCTCTCTGTACCACCTCTGGTCGTCACTTTCGCAACGCAGGAGGGAATCGAGGTGACGACTTCCCTGACCCTTTCTACCACCTCACTACCGCCCTCCAGCTCAAGGACTACCCCTTGCTGTTTTGTCTTTCGCACTCTCTTAATAATAATATCACTTCTATCACACAGGCCCGTCCTGAGCCCCTTTAGAAGTTCGGCATACGTTTTGTCCTTCGTCTTCTCTACAATCACCACTCCATTTTTCACCTTGGGCTTAATCACTCTCGCCTCTTTACCACTCTTTCCAATCACTACGACCTTGAAGCTCCTGTCTTTAAACGCCCACTCCGCAAGCTTTCTGGACACCTCAGTTCCCAGAGCAGCTGGAGCGGCAAGTCCAACACTCGTTCTCCCACACTTTTCCATTTTCTCCCCCAGCAACTTACATACCGACAGGAACTTCACTGCCATAGGATCCTCTCTCTTTCCAAGAATGAGCTTATATATGCATTTTTCCGTGCACACCTCTTGCCCATCCTCGTTCAATACTCCCACCCTCGAGAACATTGTTCCTACTCCTCCGCTGGCGTCGCCAATTACCGGCACTCCCGGCAGTTCCGGGTATCTCTCCCGAAGCTTGCCGATCATGGCGGCATCTGCCGTGTCCGTGGTTATTGCAACGGCCACATCGCCAGCGGATTCAAGGAGACTACCCTCACACATACTTGTCCTCTCGAAAAGACCCTCCGGCCATTCTTGACTCACTAGATCCATGATCTCGTCTGCCCCCTTACACTCATCCCAACTCTTTCGAATTTCGTTCACCCTATTCTCATTCATCCGCAGGTCATCAGATATTGTAGCCTGCACACCTGCATTCCTTTTATCACGTCCGACAAGAGACGCGTCCGTCTGCATCCCCGTCGAACTCACACACTTCCTTGGTACCTCTCTTTCACTATTCCCTTGTCTGCTGGCCAAAGAGAGGAGCTTCCCGGCACGGGATATCTCCCTCTCCAACCCGCAGAACAGGGTGTTAATCTTTTTTACACCGGACTTGATTTCCATTTTGGTGTTGACGTTGACTTTCGTCAACCTCAACACCTCTTCCAACTCTACTTTTAACCGGGACATCTCCCTCTCAACCTTATTGAGATTGACAGGGGGATGCTCCGGCGATTTCGGCGACTCCGCTCTCCTCTTTCTCTTGCCCCTCACCTGGGACCAGCCCGAACTATTGCCCGCGTCGTCTAAATCGACCGGCTCTGGAGAACTTTCAGACCCAGAACTCGGTCTAATCTCTCCTTTTACCCTCTCTACTCTAACCCCTACCATACCAACGGGAGTTTTTCTGGTCTCATCCGCAGCACTCTCACCGCACACGCGCTTGGGCCGCGGGGGCGTTCGCCCGATCTTCTCAGACCGAGCGAACACTCCCGAGCCCTCACCTCTCGCTCCTTCAACATCATTTACTTTATTTATATTTATATCCATATGTGTCCCACGAGTAGGGCCGAAAATATCCGTCCAGCGAGGCAGTGCGCCCTTACCTCGCTAAGGCTATCATACAACGAGAAGATGCCATTCTCCCCGAGGGCTCCGTTCGAGACCATCTGACGCTAGGCCATTCATCCCATAGGCACGGGTCGCTTAACACCTGGAGATTGCGGATTTTTTCATGAGGTTTACTCCTCCCAGCGGTAGTCGCACGCATGCATGCCGGTAGGACCGACACGAATGAGTCAACTAGATGACCGACACAGCCGCTTCTCCTATGACGGTATATGGCTGAGCAGCTAGCGCTAGTCTACAGTACACTGTACTTAATGTACCATTTTATAATTTTTTCATTAATCACTCAGCCTATATAGAAACTGTAAGATACGGTAAAAACACGATATAAGAATATATACAAGAAGCCAGAAATATAACAGTGGTCGATATAAAATAAATTAAAAACACATCGTTTTAACTGAGCTTAAATATTTATTAAGAAAGGTTAACAATAAAAAACATTTTGGCTGAAGAACATTCCTATAGAATTGGTAAAATATGGCTCTAATACATTATTGGAAATGCTCGTAAGTGCTTTTAATTTACTTAGAAATTTAATATACTGTTACGCTAGCATTGCTATTCTGATCGAGTTCACTAAGCGATTCGCAGAAGACGTTTACGGCTATCCCGAAGCCGCGAGAGTTGCACTGTTTTCTATAATCACTTCGAAGAAAGAAGCAACCTATATACAAAGGCAAACAGAAGATCTAATAAATATGTTTAAACTATTAAATAGATAAACGTTATAAATTCTACGTGTTTCAGTGTAAGCGTTAAGAAGACTTTAAATAAATTAAAATAAATATTATATTGGTGTCAGATGTGAGATACTTGAATAAGATTCAAGTGTAACAAAACTACTACAAGAATTGAAAGACAGAGAATTAAAGTATGTCGGGAAAAATCTGAATAGGTACAAGGACTAAAGCACGTCCTGAAAGAAAACGGTTTTCAGTCAAATGAAAAGAAACTCAAATATTGAAATTGGAAACTGAGGCGGCAATTAAAAGCTAATATTCAGAAAAGCAAAAGAAGAAGATAGAATAACAGCTGAAACACTAAAAGAAATGGGAGAGTTAGGGACAAAAGTAAGCTTAGAATTTGCAATGAGATCTGGAATACCAAAAAGTGGAAAAATAACTGGGATAAAGTCACGTCTATTCCTATAAATAGAAAATGTTCACCGACAGATTGCAGTAATTACCGTACAGAAGCATTGATATCACACGCGAGCAAAATACATTTATTAATATCAATTAAGGACTAAAATCAATTCTTTTACTACAAATTCCCCAAGAACAATGCGGATCCATACCAGGTAGAGGAACATGAAGACATATTGTTGAATATTCTAAGGCCTTCGATACCTCAAAATGGGAAAAATTTGGCATATACTTGAACATGATACCCAAGAAGATACCGAAGAAGATCTTGAAGATAGCCAATTTGGTTTTAGAAATGCTATAGGATCCAGGAGGCAATTTTTGCGCTTAACATCCTATTACAAAAATGCCGTGACTAAAGAAAAGATGTATTTGCATGTTTCGTGGACTTGGAAAAAGCATTCGATAAAGTAGAGCATGTAAAATTAATGCAAATACTAAAAAATATTGGAATAGGTGACAAGGATATTCGTATCATTAAAAATTTATACTGGAATCAAACTGCTATCGTTAAAATTGGAGATAACTACACCGATGAAATCTTTATACAACATGGTATCAGACAAGGTTGTATTTTGTCGCCAACATTGGTCAATGTTTACTAGGACTAGGTATTTAAAAAGGCACTTGAGAAACAACCATATGGAATTAAAATCAACGGGGAACCACTTAATGTGATTAGATATGCAAACCATACAGTAATTCTATCAGATAATATTGAAGGTCTTTAAATTCTGCTTGATCTTATTCACGAGGTAGGAGAGGAAATGGGTATTAAAATAAACTTTAACAAAACCACATTTTTAGTGTTTAGTCGTGACCCACATCCCGATGCAAAGCTTTAATTGAGCGAAAACCAAGTTGAGAGAGTTCACAAAATGACATATTTGGGAACTGTGATAACGGACCAACTAAATCCAGACATAGAAATAAAGCGTAGAATAGCAAGGACTAAAATTAGTTTTATAAAAATTAAGTCACTTCTTTGCAATAACCATCTCAGTTTAGAACTAAGGCAAATAATGGTTAAGTGCTATGTTTGGTACGTACTTTTGTATAGTGCAGAAGTGTGGACGCTAAAAATATCGATCATAAACAAAATTAAAGCATTGAAAATGTGGGTTCATAGACGACTGCTGAAAATACCTTGGACAGCAAGGAAAACTAATAAAGAAGTGCTAAGGAGAGTCAACAAAGATAGAGAACTGCTAAAGACTGTTAAACATCGAAAAATGTCTTATCTGGGACATACATATAGTAAGGGGACATCGATTTTTTTTGATTATTTGTCTATATTTATATTAAGGTGAAATAGTTTTTGGACTAAAATGAAATATTTTGCTCCGGTCAACGTTTGAAGTCTGAATGAAATAGTTACTCGGCGATTTAGGTATCACACTGTCCACATCGCGTATTGGGTATAAGGTTCGACCGATGTTCGGATTCACCGTTTGATTATAACATACGCAACTCTTTTAAGCTTGTATTCTCAGCTTTAGGGTTAAACTTGTATTAAGAAAAAGAGTAACTCGTTTTTCACTAGTTTTTCACTTTTGAAAAACACAAATTCTATCAGTTCCACTTCACATATTTAAAACGAACAGACGTAACAAATATTTACAAATACTTTGCTAGTAACCTCAAAACACAGAACAAATTTATTTCGTAATACTAAAATATTATTTCTGTAAAGAAGGATCCACTTAACGTTTCGTGATTTTTCTATAGCAGTTAATTTGGTCGTTGCATAGCTGCATAAAAACAATTAATAAAAACTTTACTTTGGCATATTGGAAAAGTTGTTTCATCCCAGCTGCCATCACAAAGAAGTAGGGGGTTATTAGGGTATAGTTGGTAACCTTTATGACATTCAAATCTTATTATTGTGTTAATGTCCACTAGATCATCTGGATTAACATCTGCTTCAGTTACTACCCACCTTCCATTCTCCAATTGTGGCGGAAGAGTACATTTCAAACTAAAAAATAAATTTAATTGAGTATTAAATTTTGTTTTAAAGGCTCTAATAAATCAATAAATATATCAGATCTTGATTACAAATTATAAAATCATATTGTCATAGGAAAATGTGAGTACATAATATTTTGTTAATTAGTTTATTTTTGGTAGTCCCCTTAATTCAATATTTAGTGTGGCCAAAAAACTGTAAAGACGGGTTGATAGCGGTGGTAAAAGCTAAAAAAATCCAACACATAATTTTGGAGAAGTGTAGTAAAAGTTTCTTGTCACGGGTAGCATCACAAAATAGCGGTTATTTACATCAATTCAACACTCTGGTATTCTGGTGAATATATATTTATTCTAATCCGGCTAAAATAAAAAACTATATGAAATATAACAAAATACAGACATTATATGAAAAGTAAAAAATTTAAGAAATATCTGTCAATAAAAGATTCAATTTTCAACGATTGTAAATTTTTTTTATTTGAATTACCGTGTCTCGATGGCGAGGTCATTGACAGGATGTCAGCATAATACAATATAAGGGTACTAACACATATAGTTTTAATTTAACAATACACAATACATAATACACAATACTTATTTTTACAAATTTAGCCGTTATACATAATTACAATTTAAAGTTTATAAAGCACTTGAATGTGATACTAATCTGTTATATTTGTATTTGAAGTTTAAATAATATATCTTGAGTTGTAACTAAAATCTTCGCTAGTGTAAATTACAGTTTATTTTGAGAGTTTGTGTATTTTAAAAGAACATTCGTAATTCGTGTAAATGACTCGGAGTTATGTTCCAATTAGCTTGCTATTTGTCATATATACGTTTTTTGAACATTATTTTATTATAATTTTGCAGCTGGATATCTCATATAGGTATAAAAAAATAGAAGCTTCTTTTGCTACATCTGCAGCCTCTTTTCGTACAAGTCGTGTCTGTATAAAAAACTTTATAAAACTAATTTCGATTAAGTGTGTCTAGGAACGATTGTTCAATTATAGCTTTAGGAGTATCATGTTTATTGAAAGAGCAACGGGAGGTATTGAAATTCGGAAGTTGCTTATGCCACGAAGGATATGTAGGGATATAAACGGGTGAAGTTGCAGCAAGATCGAAATCGTCGAGAATAAAAATTAGTATACAAGAGAGAGGTTGGGCAGCTAGTAGTCTGAGAATGATGAATGAGACTATTTAGTTGAATAAGTAGTTGAAAGATTTTGTGGATTGGCTGATAAGCTAGCTGCATATCACAAAAGAAAATATTGTCTCTTTAACTAGAGTGATGGTTCGTTAGCTTCACAGTACATGCTTGAAGCTAGGCTAGATATGAAGGCACCTAAGCAGATATTAAGATCCGTATTGTGTATGGAGTAAAAAGCTTTCATAATGTGACTTAAAGGCAGACATATAGACAAAACTACCATAGTCTATTTGGTTCGAATAATGGATATGTAATCTGTAAGCAATACCCCTTCGGCAGCTCTCATTGGAAATATGCTAGACTTTTTAAAATATTAATAGTTTTTAAGCAGTTGCCTTTGGTTACCTGCATGTGTGTATTCCACGTAAGTCTGGATCTGTCTATGGAACATCTACTAATACTTCGTTGTATGTCAAAGTTGGATTAGCTTATGTTATTAGTTATGAATGTGTTGCCTGTGTGAGTCCATTTCAAATAGGTAAAAAGAAATAAAATAAGACTTACAATCATTAATTGTGAGTAAGTCTTATTTTATTTCTTTTTACCTATTTTTTATGATTTTAGTTTTTTGAGATGAAAAATATACTAATTTCCAAGTGTTCACGAATTTTATTCGGCTACTGTTTAATTGTCGATTTAATTGTTGATTATTGTTAATTGTGTTTATTATGGAGCGTCAATCACGTAAGTTAACCCGAGATGAATGTGCCCAAGCAGTGATACTATCGGAAGAATGTTGGAGTTACCGAAGAATTGGTCGTCGGTTTAATGTGCCCCACACATCCGTCTCACGGGTGTTGGAAATATGCCTTGAAACAGGGGATCATACTCGCAGACCTGGACAAGGACGAAACCGGGTACCTACCCCTATTCAAGATCGATTTTTAAGAATTTCTGCTCTTCTACAACGTTTTGTAACACATTGAAGTCTACAAATTCAGCTTCGAGACGTACATGCTATACAAATTAGTACTGAAACTGTTCGCCAACGACTTAGGGAATACAACTTAACACCTAGGATTGCCGCCCGATGTCCTCTATTAACTGCAGAGCATCGAAGGGGGAGACTACATTTTGCCAGAGAACACGTTAATTGGTTAGAGACTGACTGGGAACGAGTGCTATTTACTGATGAATCCCGATTTTGTTTGTACAATAACGACAGACGTGTTTGTGTGTTGCGACGACCCAACGAACGATATGCTCAGTGTAACATCTCACACACCACATTTTTTGGTGGAGGATCCGTTATGGTGTGGGGTGGTATTTCATTGACCGCACGTACGGACCTAGTGGTCATACGAAATGGAACTGTTACAGCGGAAAGGTACATATTAGAGATCCTGAAGCTGGTACTACATGTAGTACCATTCGCTCCTTATATCGGTAAACATTTCTTACTAATGCAAGATAATGCCAGACCACACGCTGCACAGATCGTCAAAAATTATCTAGAAGAGGTAGAAGTTAATACTATCGAATGGCCAGCACATAGTGAGGATTTAAATCCGATTGAAAATATTTAGGATATACTTGGTAGGCGATTAAGAGCGACACCGCTCCAACCAAACAACTTACAGGAAGTGGGAGAGAGGCTGATGCAGATTTGGAGAGAACTAGACCAAAATGAAATACCGCAATTAATTTTAAGTATGGGCCAACGATGTGAGGCTGTTATACATAGTAGAGGTGGATACACTCGGTATTAAGACTTTTTTCATATTTTAGTTTACTTTTCTTATTATTTTTTTAGAATTTTCCGTTTTATTTTTTTCTCCTGTACTTCAACATTTTCTGATGATTAGACAAATTGTTACAATTACTAATAAAATGTATTTTTATTTGTAAACAGACAAATTCTTTGCCTGTTTACAAATAAAATTGATTTATTGAAGTGGTGCGTTAATTTCTTGGAGAAGTGTAATATATATAAAATTTCCCTGTCACAATGTTAGCTACCGTACTTCTCCGAAACGGCTTTACCGATCTTTACCAAATTTTATATGCGCATTCAATAGGTATGAGAATCGGCTACTATCTATTTTTCATACCTCTAAGTGATAAGGGTTGTTCACCCTTAATTTTTTTTATTTTTAGACGAAATTTTTATTTTTGTTTTTTTTTATAATGTTGCATTAAAAATACATACAACCCTAAATTTTACTTTTTTATCATCAACCCCTATTTTTTATGGCTATTTTAGTAATTTATTCATTTTTCATCTCACTCGATAACTGATCAATTATAGTGTTTTTAACTGTACTTCGATTAAAAATCTAAAATGTTTTTTAAGAAAATAAACATATATTTTTATTATTAAAGTTTAATCCTGATATATTATTTATTTAATCCTTAAAATTTGCCGCACCTTTACTGGTGAGTGAAATGCCACCCTATACCATAAACTGAAGCCGGTCTCCTCTTTTACTCACATAAGACTTCTCTCACTCCCTACAAAGTTTTCGGCCATCCATGATTCTTGTTTATGCATCAAGTGTAGTAGTAACGTTCACAATGACCAATTTTCTATTTCTGTGTAACTCTCATAATAACTATTAATTATTACTATTTTATTCATAATAATACCATCATCGTATATAGGCTGTTCACGTCATATGGAAGAATATATACAGGATTCTATGGCTTACGTGCGCTAATATGGACGACCGTGTTTATTTATCACGTTCAAATGTAATCCAAAATGGCCAGAGATTACATCTTTGCTATTGTCTGGCCAAAATGCAATACATCGTCATGACATTACAGCACGTGTATTCAGACAAAAGTTGAAGTCTCTTATAAGTCACATTACTAAATTACATGTATCCGGTCCCACACGTTGTTGGCTGTATTCAGTTAAATGGTAAAAGAGGGGATTACGTCATGCGCACGTTTTGGTTTGGTTAATCGACAAAATCCGTCCTGAAGAAATCGATAATATCATTTCTGCGGAAATTCCAGATTCATCTACTGACCGAGTTCTGTTTGATATTGTTACAGCAAACATGATCCATTGTCCACGTGGTACTCGTATAGTTCTCCAGTGTATACACTACAAACGGCAGGAAGTCTAATTGGTGTTGTAGTGCTGAAAGAGGAAACAACAGCACTACCCACTCCTACATCTCTTTTAAAGGTGTCTGTATAAACACATTACGAAACTGATTTCGATGTTTTTCGAGCTTTTTATGATGTTATAAGCTCTTAAAGTGATAACATATCTTCACTTTACCTTTTTCGAAAACATGATTGATACGCCCATATAAAAATAATTATATACTAATGACAGTAAACCATGAGATATCAGATATTAACTTTTATTTGTCAGTTGGTTAATGTCTGTGTCACGTTTTACGTTTTGGTAAGTCATATATATATACATATTTTACAATAACTGTTTGTCCTTATACATATAAATTTTAGAATCTTGACAAAGGCAAGGGTTTCCTGCCAAAACGTTGATTTCTATGGAAAATAAAATCTAGTTCCACATATAATATATGTTTATTGAACCTAAACCGAAGAAACACTGATTTTATATTAAATATAATACATATATAATATAATCCATATATATATATATATATAATATATATATATATATATATATATATATATATATATATATATATATATATATATACAGTCAAAATCGTTTATAACGAACTTCAGGGGACTGGTGCTTTTTGTACGTTGTAGCCAGTGTTCTCTGTAAGCAGTTCTATCGGTTATAATGAACAGGTTGCTATAAACGATATTACACTAATAGGGACAGTTAGTTCGTTGTACCT